CCCCTGATACTCTGATCCCAGGTCAGGGTCCTGGTTCTGTCAAAGCAACGGGGAGGGGGCATTGGGAGCACAACCCTGGAGCTGAGATGCCTGGACTCCAATCCTGGCTCCGCCTCTCCGCCTCAGTTCTCTCCTCTGGAAGATCGGGCTTATAACGCCTAGTTCATAGGGTGCTGTCCGGTTGAATGAGCTGACAATATGTAAAATATAGGGTGTCCCAAAAACATGTATGCACACACTTAGAATAATTATAAAGGCAGTGTTTATGAAAATATTTCATTTTCAAAATTGAGCTATCAGCTGTTACAGTGTGTATACATTTTTTGGGAACACCCTGTATTTGGGATGTACTATGTGTGAGCTCTTACAAGAGTCTGTGAAATATGATGCTAAGTGAAATAAGCCAGTCAGAGAAAGACAAATACCACATGATCTCACTTACATGTGGAATCTAAAGAACGTCATAAACTGATGAACAAAATAGATTCAGTGACATGGAAGCATGGATCAGACTGATGAATCTCAGAGGGAAAGTAGGGGTGGGGAGAGATTAACCAAAGTATTTACATGCATATCTGTATAATCCATGGATACAGACAATAGTGTGGGGAAGGCCTGGGGAGGGGAGTGGGCCCCAGGCAGGGGGAAGGGGTCAGTGGGGATAAAAGGGGACATCTGTAATATTTTGAACAACAGCAACACAGAAAGAGTCTGTTGGAGTAGAGCATAAGCGTATAGTGTTAGAGTTCGCTTGGTAGGCACTTGCATGCTTAAGTCTATCTGAGTAGATTAGGGGGAAGTGGGGGCCGGAGCCCCCAGCCCTGAGGTGGATCCGTCCACCTGGAAAAGGTAACGCCGTACCCTTTTGCAGGCGAGAGCACCGTTTTGCACTTGTCTTCCCCTTCCAGAGGGCAGTGTGGTTTGTAAAAGATGCTTTTTCAAATGTTTGCTGCAGAGATTTCTGAATTTTTTCCTGGAGAAGTACCAGCGACATGTGTGTAATGCTGACCAGTGGGAGTTCATCAACGGGTGGTACGTCCTGGTGATTATCAGCGACCTAATGACAATAATCGGATCCATACTAAAAATGGAAATTCAAGTGAAGGTGAGGGGCCACCCACTTTAAGTCTGCTGTTCTTTCTGTCCTGGATGACCTCACGTCCCTTAGGGCATAAAAGCCTTGTGGGGAGTAGAGTCCTGTTTTCCCTCTTCTCGCGCCCGTATGTTGGAAGCCGCCTCTGGCCCGATTCCTCGTGAAGGGAAGGAAGGAAGCTGCTGTCCTGTGGGAGATGACATTCCTACAGATATTCCCCAGGAAACTTGGCAGCTTCTTGAGAATAGGAACTGAAGTTTGAGAAGATGGGTTGTTTGCGTGGATTTCATTTATTATTTTTAAGCCACAGAAGGAGCCGCTGACCCATGAATCAGCCTCATCAAGAGCCAGTGGTGACCATCCCCGACCAGTGGGTGCCCTGACAGGTGGGGGTGAGGGCAGGGGCATTAGAGTGTCTGCTAGGTGCCTGACACTACGTGTAACTTCACTGATTTAATCTGATGACAAAGTCTTGACTCCTTTACCCTGCTGTTCTCCCCTCCATGCTGTGCGGCTGTCAGTCGGGAAGTCCGACCGGCTTTGCCTAACGGACCTTCCTCTGGTCCATTCCGACCACCTCTGACTCCCTTCAGGGGGCTTTCCCTCTGGCCTGGCCTGCACGGTGTCTCCTAGATGCTTGTCTGCCTTCAGCCTTACATCCCTCAGATCCATCCACGCAGCTGCCAAAGGGAAGTCTCTGGAAGTGTCTGCCTTTCTGTTCAATCCTTTCTGATGGGAAGCCCTTTGGGTGAAGTGGCCTCCAGGGTCCTCAGCATCTAGCTCTGCCTCCCTCTTCTGCCCTCGATTCACTGATCCATCCACGGTGACCCTCTAGGACGTCGTTCTGGCTCTTAGCATCGGGCCTTGGTTTCCCTTCTGCCCGCAGGCTCTCCCCCAGCCTGTCCTGCAGGCCCAGCTGCACTCGGGCCGCGCCCATGGGAAGCCCTTTGTGAGAAGCCAGGTGCTGGGTCTCTTCCTGCCCTTAGCATAGTATATTAAAATCCTGGTTGTGTGTTTGTCTCCTCAGTCAGATCTAGAAATCCTTGAGAGCAGGAACTGTGTTAGCGAATCACGTTTGAGCTTCCTTTCAAAGTAGCCGATGGGAATTGTTTCCTATTTAACCAACACCTTTAGTTTATATTCTTTGATGCCTACGTAAATGCATTTTCTATTTCAGGATATCATTTGATCAAAAAATCAGTTCAGCCTATCGAAATACTAAAAGGAAATGAGAAACGCACTTGGAAGTGTGATCTCTATTATTTTTGTCAGTTCAAAAGCCCTTAGTATCACTTATAGAGAGGCGGGCATTCGTTCTTTACCAGTCAATTTAAAGTGAGATTAATAACCTGAGTGGAGTAGAATATGTTACTCACATCTGGTTTTCATTCCTCAGAATATCACCAACTACGATCTGTGCAGCATTTTGCTCGGAACGTCCACACTTCTCGTCTGGGTTGGAGTCATCAGATACCTGGGTTACTTCCAAAAATATAATGTAAGGATGTGGCACTGGGGCTGAGTTTCATTTCTTCTTCGGTTTCTAGTAAGCTCCTTTTTAATTTCTCCCGTTCTGATGATGTTTTTTCAGGTGCTCATTTTAACAATGCAGGCCTCGCTGCCCAAAGTCCTTCGCTTCTGCGCCTGTGCCGGGATGATCTACCTGGGTTACACCTTCTGTGGCTGGATCGTCTTAGGCCCGTACCACAACAAGGTGTGTAGCACTGATTCTTCCTTTTGCCAATTAGGCACTTGGGACCCTGAAAAGTGGGCTTCCAGCACTTTCCCTCAGCACATACCCTTGATGTCAGCAAGCCCATATCTTTATATTGGTTTTCTTTCCAGTTTCCTTTTCTGGATATTGGAACTACTGTGAGGGACTGGAGAGCACATTTCATAGTTGCCTGGGACTGGTTTATGGGTCACTTACCACCCAGACAGCCGTCAAATAAGAAATGTTTGTACATGAGATCATATAATAAAAATGAACATAGTATGGGGAAATTATTACAAAATCTTTCTAACTTAAAGTTTTAGGATTTTCATCGAAATTAATTGAGAATGAAGGTGAACAGAGAGTTCCCAGAATGGACCATATTAGGTTTGTGATTAAAATGATAGCATGTCTTGTCTTTGACGGTGGTTTTGATGACAGCATCCTCTCTGCCTTATTAAAGATCAGTATCTGAATTCTGGATCAGTGCCAGGCTTCAGTCAGCATCATAATCCCAGGGACATCAAAGTTATGGCTCAGATCCTCTTGTTTTAAAATAATAACTTTGATTGGTAGAAACATCAGGAAATGAAAATAGGTAGGCCCTATTTTCAAACCAAAAAGGTAAAAGGAGTTATTGCATCTTTTAGTTTTCCTTCCATGGGCCTCTGGCAGTTGGAACAACAGAAACAACAAAAATAAAATTAACAGCAGCTGACACTGGGTGCTTGTGCATTAGGCACTGTGCTTAGCGTTTCTGTCTCCTCTTTTGTTTAATCTTCACAAGAGCCCATGGTCCTGTCATCTTGGCTTAGTTGCTCTGCAATAAGAAAAGAGATAAAATGCAAAGGATTACACCGAAGCTTGTATTACTGCTCAGCCTTAAGTTTCAACTTTGATTGTTGCATTAAACAAAACGTGGTTATATCTGGCTTATAAACTGTTCCCCAAAAGTGAGCAATCCACAAAGGTCAAGCTTTCTGTGTTGTCCTCCTTGAATAGATCCTAGTAATTTGGCACATGCCCAAGCTGTCTCCTCTTTCAGGGTTGCATTTAATATATCCAAAGAGAATTACTGTGTTCCTGTTTGAGACTGTTGAGTTAACCAAGTGACCATCTCTAGGTTAATAATAAATCTTGATAATATTATTGCTTTTTCAATTCCATGCTACTGCTTTAAAGGCGACTCATGAGTAAAAACTGTTCTTTGATATGATCTCTCTGATCCGGAGAACTTACTGTTTTAGTGCCCAGGAAAATTTACATTTTTCTTCCTTACTTGCCACCTCGTCTGAATGCTACTCCAACTTTTTTTGTCACTAGAGGGCAGTGTTGCACTGTGGGAAATAAATACCAAGTTGACTGATTTTGGCTTTAATTCACTGTCTCCAAGGCCTCAGGACAAGTGGTCCTATCTCCTTTGCCCTTCGTCTCCCTACCCCACTATTGTTCTGGAAGGTGCTCAGATAATGTTGCTTGAATTTTACTAATATAGCTACCATTCTTGAATGCTCTGTGCTAGATAGCTATGGGACCCAAGTTCTTTAACTCCCTCTAACTCCCTCGTTGTGTTAACTCTCCAATAGCTCTGTGTCGGAAATATTATATTTTTACAGAAAATAGGGATCTTAGTATGTTAGAAGTATGTTAGATAATTTTCCTGGGGCTACACAGCTGGTAAATGGCAGAGAGAAGATTCACATCCAGGTCCACCTGACCCTAGTACACATGCTTTGGCCAGTACCCAGGTAGGGCTTTTCTTAGTATTATCTAAAACAGACCATTAAAAAAGAGCATTTAGTTTGACCAAAGAATAGATTAACTATGAGAGGAGAGCCACATAACCAGTTTTATTTCTATTTGCTTTGTGAATCTGACTGTCCTTTCAAAGGATTCAGGTGAGACTGGGATGCTCTGGACCAGCATTGTCCAATAAAAATACAAGAGCTACAAATGAGAGCCACATGTGTGCTTTAAAATTTTCTAGTAGCTACATTGAAAAATTTTAAAAAGAAACAGATAAAATTGATTTTAATTATATATATATTTTTAACATTGAGATAGTCTGCACTCCTTTGGGAGGGGGTTGGTACTAAATCTTTGAAATCCAGTGTGTATTTTACCCTGACAACACATCAGGTGCTCCATAGTCACATGTGGCTGGTGGCTACCCTGGTATATAATGCACCTCCTGTCTGTGTTTCTCATTTAGGGTCAGCCTTTGTTTCTCCCCCACAGGAGCAGAGGGATAAAGGCTGTCTCGAGGGCTGCCTAGCAGGTCTGTTCGTGGCATCTGTCTCCCATCTCTACCCAGGCTGATATATTGGGGAAATACACAGTTCATTTAATTTAGTGAATGCACTAGTCAGTGGAAGGAGAAAATCTTCAGTCTGACTCAAGACTTCTGTGCTTTCTTTCTCCGGATTGCTGCTGCTTTGAATCTGAAGTTAGAAATGTTTCTGCCCCCTGTGCCTCTACCCCCAGATGAATTCCAACTGTCAAAACTTTCAGGTTCTGCTAGTCAGTCTCTTGAATCAGAAGACCTTCAGTGTTACCTGAAGCCTTCAAAAGCTGGGCAGCACAGCAAGCATTTTCTAGGATCTAGAATCATAGCAACTTTGGGTGTAGAAGCTAACTCTTTCTTTAAACATACCAAACACTCTAAATAGGAGGTGTCAGGGAAACTAGCTGTACACTGCTATTTGGCAGCAGGGCCCACATTTTGCTCCGTTTTCCTGGCAGACATTGGATTCCAATGGTGCAGATGAGAGAGGGTAGAGATACAAGGAGTGCCCCACCGGTGTTAATGCCACTAATGGGCTTTGGCACAGCACCCTTTCAATTGTCTGGGCACAGAGGGCTAGAGACTGTTGATGTTTAATAATTCAAGATGAGGTTCGGAAGACCGTTTCTCTCATGTGGCTTTTACGTTTCCAGAGGACTTTCTTGCTGTAAGGAATAAGTCATAGTCTTGCATTGTCCCCATTTCGCAAGTGAGAACAACACCAAGGCATTGGAAAATTGTTGGGCTTTGCTGATGCCAGGGGTACAAGTTTGGCAGAACCTGCATTACGTCTTCATGCTCTCAAGGCCTCTAGTTTTGGTCAAACACCTCTCTTATTCAAAAGAACTATTAACCAGTTAAAACATTTAACCTAAATGTTGCTCTTGAAGCCAGTTTTTTATGTCATTCTCTGACATAAGCTGTTGCAGGTTATGTTTTCATTTAAATGAAAGTTCTTTCTGGTTTGATTTCGAAATATCATTTGTGAAACAAATGCCTGGGTTTTCACGGTGGTCCCGTAGGACCTATGGGGCCTCTTTATGGAACTACGCATTTAATATTGATTAAATGTCTACCCTGCTCCAAGCACGTCAGGTTCTCCTAGGCTGAGTTCTTGGAGGGCAGTGACTATGGCTTTTTGCTGTTTGCATTCCCTGTGTCCAGCACGGTGCACAGAACACTGTAGGGATTCAACAAGTTTGTTACATGAACAAGAAAACAGAAAGACAGCCGTACCTGCTTTCCAGGGGCTCACAAGCTCCTAAGAACCAAAGCAACTCCCGATAAATGCAGTCCTTCTGGGCTGGAAGCACATTAGGACCTTATTTCCCCTCACCATGGGTAGTTCCAATGTTCACTTCTGTGGATTTTGGCCACTGAAACTGACTGGCTCCTAGTTACTTGTGGTACAAATGGCAGGGTGTATTCTAATCACATACCCTATTGAGTCTCTGTTTAACTTTTTGGCGGGTTAAATTAAGTCTCCCCTGCATAGAAGAGAGGGAGGTATAATGGTTGTAAATAGCATTAATGTTGAGACAGGTACTGCATCTAGACCGATACTAAGTCACAGCACTGGAAACGAAGACATGAATTCGACATGCACTGACCAACTAGCTATTTGCAGTTCTGGAATCTGAAGCAAAGACTGTTAGGGGTTCTTGAAACTAAAGGAAGGAATTGGCCAGATTCCAAAAGAAACTTTGAGAAATATGAATTATTAATGGTGCTGCTGGAGTTGTAATTGCCATCCATAGAAACCAGCTTTAACTTTGTTGTCGGAAGGCTGGTGGTGGGGATGGAAAATATTTGCTCTGAGAACGGCCTGTCTTACTGTGTAATAATTTGCATATTGTTGTGATTTGCTCAACTGGATGTTCCCTCCAGGTCTCTATGGAGAGCGGCTTTAGAGCTGTTGCTGATGCAGCAAAGGCCTAGGCATGGTCCCTGTTGGGGTTACATTTGTGCCCACTGCCCTGGTTGCAGACTTTATCCCCTGCATCCACTCATGGAGAAGGGAGGGTTGGACATGGTACTTCCATCCAGCTGGGGTGTAGAGAAGTATGTTCAAAACGAATTAGAAGGCCAACCGTAGTTTGCACTGGGCTTCTTACTGATACAGAGAAGGGACTAGAGCTGCAGAAGTGAACAGTCTTGAGGGTAGATTTTGAAATAGCCCTTTAGCGTTGGCTTCAGTGGACACAGAAGAAGATATCAGATGAAAGAATAAACCCCGTGAGGAAAAGATGGAGAAGCAGGTCTGGTGTTGTGGGAGGAGAAAAGCACAGGGCAATTTTGACAGTGAGGAGATAGAAGGAGGCCATGCAAAGGAGGACCTTACACCAGCCTTCGTGGTCTGAATTTTTACTCTGCATCTAGACTTGGTATATTCTTACTTAAGAGAAATGACCAGAAGGTTGCATTCTACGAAGCCTAGACTGTACTGCAGTGTGGACTGGGGGGTGGAGAGGTTGGAGTCAAGAAGCCTTCCTTGGAGGTTTCTGTAATAAATCCAGGTGTAAGTGTGGGCCTGAGAGTGGAGTCGAAAGACTGGATCAGAGAAACGTAGGAGCAGCAGACCTTCCAAGATCGAAGAGAGGGGGAGGGTAATCAATTCAGCACACAGTTTTAAGTACTTGATTATTTGGAGTAAATGTTTCTTTGGTAGGAGACTGAAGTCACTGACAGGAATGGGGGAATCTGGAAGGAAAGCCCAGTTTCTGGGTTAGGGTGGCAGAGGTTTCATTCTGTTGCATGTGATGTAGTAGCACAGCTTCCAAGTGGAGATGCTTCATGGACATTCATCAAGGACCTCGCTGTCCCCAAAGCCACTCCGACTTAGTGGACTTACGGCCCCCACCTCCAAGGACAGAATTTGGTTCAGAACTCTACAGGAACTTGTTCCCTCTGTGTTTCTGGAAACCATACTATCTTTTTGCCTGTTAGGTCATTAATAATGACCTAGAAGCTTTCATCTAATGTCAACCCTCTGGCCCTAGAGATGTTAGTTTATTAAGCACCTGCTGTTTGATTTTAGTCGATGTGGCAGGAGCTGGGATGCCGGCTGTGGGGTTGCGGTGGGATCCCAGCCCCAGCCCAGCTCCGGAACTCCAGGTCTACCTCCAACTGCTTCATATCAACATTTCTACCTGGCACCTCAAGCTGCCTTGCCTAAAACTGAGTCCATTTGTAGTTCCTTCCCCTTGCCCCCTCCCAGACTTATTTTCTCCGAAGTTCCTCCTTTTCCAGTCTCACCTGGACTTGCAATCCTGAGCTCCTGCACTCATCCCTCCAGGGCATCCCTGCCCTGGGCTTTTCCTGTTCTAGGAGATCTTGGTTGCCCATTAGAAACAGGTCAGATCACTCTTCTGGCTGAAATTGTTTCCTGGTTCCCAGTTCTGGCCTGTGATAGTCTGAAGTATGTAGAAGACCAAACTCGGCCTTTTGCACTGTGGCACAGACACGCCTCTGCAGCTGCTCCCAAGGCTCTGCACTGTCTCCCATATTCACTCGGCAGACCCTTCCCTGCCTCCTCTCACGGGTGAGCTCAGCCTTCAGCGCTCATTCCGAGGGTCACTTTCCTAGCACAGCCCACCCCAGCTCTCACACAGGGTGTCATCATATACGGTGGTTGTGGCCTGTCCTCTGTTAGCTGGGACTCCCTAGAAAGCACTGGGCATGATCGTTCATCCTTCACTCTCCCATCGCTGATAATCTTTAGTTTTTAATGTGTTAAAATCACCCAGACCAGTGGTTGGAAAGGCTACAGTGAAACCATTCATTGAGCAAAATTTTCTTGAGCCTATCCTGTGTGTCAGGCACTTCCTTCTTTGATGGTTGTAGAATACAATTGTGACAGTTTTTTCAGAAAGCAGATTGTAGCCTTGAAAATGTGAACCACTTAGACCCAGTAACAGGGAAAAAACATTATGCTTAGGAATGTTCATTACATTGCTCTTTATAATAGCAGACATCATTGGGATGTCTAGTGACAGGGAAGTAGTTAAACTTGACATTTCTAAGGGATGGTCTGTTATATGACACATGCTCTGTAAGTGTGAATAAAAAGCTGTTAAGTAGAAAAAAAGATCTAAAATTGTTAGATAACATGACTACGAATATATAAAAAAGTGCATAGGAAAAAACGGAGGGAAATGTCGAAAGATGGTGAGTGTACAAGGGGGTTTTGAATAATGTTTTCCTGCTTCGGTATTCTGGCCATCTTAAAATGACTGTTACTCATAATAATAATGCCAACAACAGCGTCAACAAAACAAGCTAACTAGATACTTCTCTGCTTCTTTGGATGGTGTATCTCACAGACTCACTTTGGTTTCCCCCCTTCAGTTTGAAGCTCTGAATACAGTTTCTGAGTGTCTGTTTTCTCTGGTCAACGGTGACGATATGTTTGCAACCTTTGCTCAAATCCAGCAGAAGAGCCTCTTGGTGTGGCTGTTCAGTCGCCTGTACTTATATTCCTTCATCAGCCTTTTCATATACATGATTCTCAGCCTTTTCATTGCACTTATTACAGATTCTTATGACACCATTAAGGTAAGTAATTATCAATATTTCCTGCCAAGAACACTGTAAATTCTGCATAGATTGGAACATAGGGGGAAAAAAAACTACATTTTTTTTCTTAAAATACTACACTTTACTTAAATTTTGAGGTTTTGTAGAAAATATAGACCTGTTGGCCCTGGCTTGTTGGCCCGGTTGGTTGAATGTCATCCTGTGTACCAAATGGGTCACTGGTTCGAGTCTGGGTCAGGGCATATGCCCAGGTTGCAGGTTTGGTTCCCTTTCGGGGTGCATACGGGAGGCAACCGATTGATGGTTCTCTCTCACATTGATGCCCCCCCCCTTTCTCCCCCTCTCCCTCTCCCCCTCCATTTTTTTCTTCCACTCAAATCAATAAAAACGTATTTTAAAAAAAGAAGAAAAGACACTTATTGGATGTTGGAGGTTAATTTTAAATATGCGTTTAAGACATTGTCCCTGTCACCCAGATCAGGTGGATTGATTTGAAGGTGTGGTGGGAAAGAGAAAGGTGATGGGTAAGGATGGGCTGAGTTTGGTAAAACAAGTGGTCGGGCTGTTGGTCTCAGCATTGACAAGGGTGCCTGCCTGTCCTGGAACTTAGGCTTTGAGTGGTAAGTTTCAATGATAAGGGGTGACCACCACCCTGACAACTGTTCAGATATTGGAACACCTGTACACTGGATGATACAGACATTGGTGTGGTACAGGTTTCCTTTAAATTATGAAAGCTAAGGCTTTTATGGCTGTTTCGTCTCCTGTCTTCCTAAGCCACCTGGTGGGTTCTGTATCCTTTCAGTCTGGGTCCATTTAACTGGGTTGTAGCTTGAAGGGAGCTCTGCTGCCTCCGGCGGTGACCCCTCTAACAGCAGATAGTCATGCTCAGAAAATCCTGTTTCAGGCCCAGCGTTGGAGCAACCCGGGGTGCTATGTGAGAACCTTGGGGTGTTTTCCTCTTCTTGAACCTTCTCAAACTAACTCAGAAGAGACTAGTTTATTGGAAATACTCCTGAGCACATTTTTGTGTGTGCAGGGGGAGATTAGTTCTCACATGGGATGGGTGATTGGCTCTAAGAGCAGGGCTGAGCATAGAGAATTGCTGCACACTTCTGCCGTGTGGTTCCGTCTTTGATGTGGCAGTGTCCTCGTGAGTGGGCCAAGTCTTAGTGACGTGGTGGATGACCTCACTTAGCATGAGGGGAGGGGTCTTGGGGTCCTTGTGTCTGCTTGAGAGAGCCTACTGCCTTCTGCCCCACTAAGTGGCCGTCTTCCATAAAAGTAGAGGGAATAGAGTTTACTTTTCAGGCAGATTCTGCATGAGCAGGGAGAGGAAGGGGGGGTCTTATCTGTTCTTGCATTGGCATTAAAACTTTAGACTTTTGATTATTTCTTTTGTTTCCCTTACTAACACATCCCTCCCCCACCTGACCCTGGCTTTCTCTCTGGTGTTTTCCTTTGGATTGTTCTGTGTTCCACGGTGGCCCTGGCTTGGCCTTCTGGGACTGACATTGATTCATCATTGTTAATATCAGTTCTTGGATCTGAGCTAGCAGTGTGGGAGAGTTTTATTTTAGCAAAGGTACCTGGGTCTGGTTAATTGACAAAGGGAGCAAATTTCTCATGCTTTATAAATAAGGTAACAACACTGTGTACTTTTTAAAGAAATACCAACAGAATGGGTTTCCTGCAACGGATCTTCAGGAATTCCTGAAGGAAAGTAGCAACCAAGAGGAGTATCCGAAGGAGTCCTCAGCCTTCCTGTCCTGCATCTGCTGTCTGAGGAGGTCGGTATTGTGTTTCATCAGGTCTCCATGCTCCTGAGAGGAGCTGCTTGGCCGCCTTAGCAGAGTACTTCCAACGTGAACACCACACTCAGAAATCAGCTTATTGTGGGAAAGAATCCCTCTTTCCTCCCACTGAAATCGGCTTGGGAAAGGAATTCTTATAGAACAGGGCAGCAAGCTACATGACATGGTTGAACCCTCGTGGGGATATTATGAGACTATTATGAGAAAGCATGAATTACATCCCTAAAGTCAAGAGGGTGAACTCTTTAAGTGGCCAAAGAGGTCAAAGCTCTTAATTTTAGGGCACGTTCCCTTTTCACAATATGCGGTACAGATAACTGCTCGAGCAGAGCTGGAGGCCTGCTTGAGAAGAGGCTGTGCGTGCCCCGGTTAGAAAGGGACATCAGTAGCTCTTCGCTGACCAACTGCGCTTTGCTCGCTGTTCATCAGGACGCTTAAGAAAATGGTTTAGACCAGCGATTTTCAACCTTTTTCATCTCATGGCACATATAAGCTAATTACTAAAATTCTGCAGCACACCAAAAAATGTATTTTTTGCCATCTGACAAAAAAAAAATAGGCATAATTTTGATTCAGTCACCCTGGATGGCTATTGTTGTGTTAGCTGTTGTCATTTTTTTATTTGACAGTCTAAGGGAAGAGAGGTCAGCACCCCTGCCTAGATGGTCAGGTACTGCATGTTTTAAAAATTCTTGTGGCTCACTGGGTTGAAAGTCGCTGGTCTAGACTCAGTGGCAAAGCCTCCACATAGTGGTTTGGGGACTAGAATGGGGTCAGATGAGGGTAGTATTTTTAATTTGTACCCATGTTTGTTTTCATCTCCAGTCAGGGTAGTGGGTTGTTAACTCAAAGTATCCCCTGCCCATTTTTTTTTTTTTTTTTTTTTGAGAGATTCTCTAAACCAAATTTCTGAAGGAAAATGAGGGAACATAATTGCTGCTTAAAACCACAGGATGTATTTCCTGCTAATCAATTCATGCCGCATCTTGGGATTTGAAATGATCTGATTGAAGCGTTTCCAAAGAATGTCTGGTAAATATTAAATGAGGTCTTCTGAGAAGAGTTAAGTTTTTAAAATCACATTTTAGCCTTTCAGAGCATTAAATTGTTGCCATAGAAACTGGGATAAAGGGAAATTAATTTTCTTAATAGGCAGCTGCTTCCTAAGAGGCACCTTGTATAAGGAAAGTCTCTCCAAGTTGCTTTTCAAATATGTAGTTAACTGTAAAGAACAACAACAAAAAAAGATCATCTTAGAACGTGGTTGTGAATTCTGGAAGGTAACTGATGGGTTTTTGGTGTTCGGTTTTTGGACCTTGGTCTGCACCGTACAAAGCCCCAGGAGGCTGTCAGGTGTTTTCTTGTGCAGCCTGTGGGATAAGTGAAAGCGGTAAGGGACGGACTGGGAGATTAAGTTGGGTCTGAGTGCTGGGGAGCAATATCAGCAGACAGGTCGCCCTAAGATGCGCTAAGGGTTGGGGAGGAGATGCCTGGTGCAAAAGGAGGGCCAGGCCTGTCTTTAATGGAAGAATTAACTGGACCAGAAGAGTCCACCAAAGGAAATCAACTGAAAAACTGGGATATTGAAAGTTTTGAAAAAACTGGATATCAAAAATAAAAAGAGAAGTGGCTGTTACCAAAGACAGTTGTGGGTAAAATCTGCTAGAACAGTTTCAGTCAAACAATTCAGATCAAAGCTTAGCTCTAGCTGAC